CGGGCGGGCCAGGCGCGCTGAGAGCGCAGCGGGCGGGACTCGCGGCCCCAGACCCGGCCCGGCAGACTGCAGTCTCCAACCCCAGCCCTGCCCGCTTCGGCTCCCGCTGGTTCCCGGCCCTTGGCTCCCTTGTGGTCTCCGTTGTCGTCCGCCCCACCGCCTCATTCTGGCTCAGGGTGATGCCTGATACGCCCTTGATTACGGGGGGGTGTTTGCCTCTACCCACGCCCGGAGCTTTCTGGGCCCCCCCTTGTGGAACTGCCCCCTACGCTTTACCCCAAGTCTCTGCCCAAAGACCTCCCCGCTGCCTCCCAAACATCAAGAGAAAGGGGGAGACGTTTCCAGAAATCCAGGAGGGTGGGTTTGGACCCTGGCCAGGGTAGAGGCAGTGACCCTGCCCTTGGACCCTCCAGCCTTCTTCCCTGTATAAGAATGATGCTTGAAAAGCATTCTTGTAGGGAAAGAGTCTAGTGATCCGGGAGAATTGAGATGGGGCCCACCATGGGCATTGAGTCCGCTGCCATACACACAGGGAAGAATTCACGGCCCTGTGCCGGCCTCTCTATCCCTTGGAGGACTCCTGGGACTTCAATGCTCTGCCTCTGCACAAGACTGAGATGGCCCTACCAACGTTCAAACATCAGGTTAGGCCAGGTAACAGCTCTGCACCAGGCAGCCGCCCACGCCTCTGCCCTGGCACCCCCACAGGATTTCTCATCCACCCCATCTCTCTGCAGATAGATGTGTGTGGTCCCCCTCTTGGTGCCCCACAACCAGGACGGAGATGGGGCCTCCAAGGAGGTAAGGAGAACCTTTGGCAGGTGCTTGGGAACATTGACTACCCAAAAAGTAGACACAGCAGAGGTGCCCCAAGCCAAAGCCCGGCAGAGCAGGTGGTCCTGACAGCAGCTGGATTCTCCCAGCAGGATGAGGAGTGGCCCTGCCGAGGCGTCTCCACAAGGCTACAAAGGCCCAAAGATCTATGTGTCACCAACTGATCATTGTAAATAAAGTGAACCTGCTTTTTCAGCCCTGTCACCACCCCTGTGTTGTGTTTGATGCCAGGCCTGCTAGGGGGTGGGGAGGATAGATTCTCGTGGTTGCCCAAGAGAAGACCCCAGGAAGTAGCCTTTTTGTAGCCAAGCCCCAGGATTGGGAGGGGTTGGGGGGTGCTGCCAAGGAGCTGTTCCTTTAATGTCAGGAGAGGAGGCAGTTACTTGTGCCTGGTCTGAAAATCACATGTGCTAAGCTCCCTGGAGGGATATTGGCTGTCTGTCTCAGTCTCCCAGAATGTCTAGGCCTGGGCGCTGAGACACAAGTGTCTGGGAAATCTGGCAGGGAGGGGGCCCTGCGCTGGGGGCTTCTCATAAGCCATGTATTTTTAAGAAAGTTCAAGTGTAAGTCAAAGCATGTGTAATAGACTGTGTACCTCAGGGGTGACCGCAGAGCAGGTTGTAAGGGAATAGGGTGGGCAGCCCAATTTCTTTCAAAGCCGCTGGAAAAACTTGTCCAGACCCTGTGACAGTGTGAGTCTTGAGCTCCCTATCTTCGTTATTCCTTTGCGGAGCTGGGCATGGATCCCAGAGTTACCCAGAGTCCAAGTGAGTGGCCTCTGCATTGCCAACAATCGGAACACTTCTGTTTCCTGGAACTGCCAGGCCAGAGAGCACCACTCTCACCTCACCCTGGCTCATCCCAGGCAATGTCGGGGGCTTCAAAAGGAAAAGCTGGAGTCGACTCCACATGTCGGGGGTGGCAAGGATCCACTGGGTGAGGCTTGCCCACATGTTCCTTGCTTCCCTCTCACATATTGCCAGGGCTTTTGTTGGTGTTTCTCCCTGTTTGCGAAGAAGAGGAAGTGGGAAGATGTCAGGCTTGGGAGTGGACAATGGGCTGCAGGGCAGCCTCTGGTGTTGGCTGAGACAACCTCATCCAGAAACAAGGTCATAGCACGGCCTCTTTGATCAGATCTGTGCAGTAGATATTTCCTAAGTGCCTGCCTTGCGACAGGCACTGTGAGGGTCCAGAGTCCCTCTCCCTCTTACATTCACAATCAGATGTATCTAGCTAAAGGAGTAGTTTCTATAATACATAACCAAAGGCCTACGATCAGTCTCAGCCCCTGCTCCTCACTGTTCTCTGGCAATTTCTCAGCACATACACACAGCCTCCCTCCTTCCCACGCTCTCACTAGATCTCTAGACCTGGAATTAGAAGGCTGGATGAGAGGACTCTGAGCCTCACCTTTAACAAATGTAGGATAATATCTCTTCTCATAACCTCACAACCTGGTTGTGAGAATTAAGCGAAATCATGTCTGTAAAAACCCTTGGTTAATAGTAAAATGCCCGCACCTGTGAAGAGAAGCCATTTCATCCATTTGGCCCTCTCTTTAGATAAGTATTTCAGTGTGCCACCACCCCCTGCCACCAGCTCCTCTACCCCCAGCAACAGCGTGAGTTGTTACTGGCCGCACCTCCATCTTGATGTATGTGAGGGGTTGAGAATCAGATAAGCCACAGCTGGGTCTGCGTAGCTCCCACTGCCACCAAGCTGCAGTGTTGGGTGATTGGGGCTGCTCTAGCCACCAGGCCCCTGGCGGCATTGCTACCCAGGGAAGGGAGACATGTCCTGGGGAGTCACAGCTGCCTCATCTATGCACTTTAGCATTCTCCACTGACCTTAGGCACAAGATGGAGTCAGTGGCTATGCGGCCTCATCCCCTGGGTCCCTCCTCCCAGCTGTAAAAGGAAAATGGGCTTCAGTGGTTTTCAAAGCACTTTCCTTGATTTCCCTGGGTGCCCTAGGAGCTGCTGTGGGGAGTGATGGGGAGATGGAGTGGGAAACCCACCCCCCTTGCTCTAACTGGAGCAGTATGTGTTTCCTGATGCAGGTTCTGTGATTCCATTTGAATAATGGAATTCTGCAGATTTTTTTTTTTTTTTTTTGAGTCAAGGTCTCACTCTGTTGCCCAGGCTAAAGTGCAATGGCCTGATCATGGCTCTCACTGCAGCCTCAGCCTCCTGGGCTCAGGCGATCCTCTTGCCTCAACCTCCCAAGTAGCTGGGACTACAAGCGTGCAACACTACGCTTGGCTAATTTTTTGTTTGTTTGTTTGCTTGCTTGTAGAGATGAGGTCTTGCTATATTGCCCATGTTGGTCTTGAGCGCTTGGGCTCAAGCAGTCCTCTGGCCTTGGCCTCCCAAAGTCCTGGGATTACAGGCGTGGGCCACCACACCCACCGGGCATATTTTTCTTAAATTGAAATCAGTAGACAAGATGCTCTCTAAATCTCCCTTTCAGCTCTTAGGCCTGTTGGCCTGACTGAGCCTGAGAAGTATTGTTGGAGCATGTCAGAGATTCTCAGATGTGACAGTGAAAGAAGGGATTTTTTTTTTTTTTTTTTTTTTTTTTT